ATCATTAAATCCCCTTTTCACTGAAGCCCATCGTATCTCTGTCAATGTCTCACATTGTGTTCAATCCAGATCTGGCCACTGGCTTTTAAGTGGTTTTAAAAGTAATGCATTAGCAATTTTACACTTTTTCCATATTAAAGTAATTTTGGAGTGCATGATGTAAATGGAGGTAGCAGGTATGTGATACTAATGCATTTGGGAAATGTTTTAGTCAATCAGATGGATTTCGAAATGTACGATGATTATATGATGAGCCTTTATAAGAATATATTTTTTTAATTCCTGCAAGGACAATATATTTAATAGACCATTTTAAAATTCAGAGGGATGCTTTCTAAAGACATGCATAAATGCATTTTCATTACATTTGGTTAAGAACACTGGATTTTGGGACAACGGCGTTCCAAAAAATCTTGGCCTGCACCTGCAAAATACCTCCGTATATACAAATCAAGCTCAACAGACAACAACGAGAGCACAGCTCCTTTAATGAGCCGGAGTATCTCTGAGAGCAACGACGCCTGGTTTCTTTTGAGGAAACGCCACTGTGTAAACAATAACAGCTTGAAACAGCGAGGATTTGTGTTTAGCACTCGCGGCTACTGCAGATATGCTCTCGCATCCTCCTACGGCAAGAGGGAGGGAAGTTTTAAATGACAAACACAGACAATAGAGGAGCATGAGAAAACAAATGAACCTGTCAGCCCCTAAACAACACATCAGCACGCCACACTTGACATGTGATACTAATCTTTTCAGTCCCTGTGGGTGAAACAACAACAACAAAAATACAGAAGACATGATTCTCTTCTGAAAACACTGGGTGGTTTTTTTTGTGAAAACATTTTGTCATATGCATAAAACATTGTGTCATATTCATAAATGAGAGGATCGTGCGATTCTGATGAGGATGTTTAGTTCTGTGGATGCTGGTGTGGACAGTTCTACCTGAACACGCGTTTTAAGGGAGAGAGTCCACAGATCAGCTTTGTGTTAAAATCTTAAATGTGTTAAAATATGCAGGTAAAATAAATCACATACATTTCTGATCATTTATAAATACTGTTTTTATGCTTCGGGTTTAGGAAACAAGCCACAGCAAATCACTTCAACCACAAAATGCAACTCTCAGCCAAAATTGCTTTGCACATGCTGTTATACTGGAGTGTTTTATTTAGGATGTTGGTGTTGAGTCAGAATCTAAATTGCTTGTGTTTTCAAAGGCTTATGCGAATCTTCCCATTTCACTCCTCCGTCTTAAGACAAATGAAACATTTAAAGACGTCCCTTCTTAGAAAAGCAGACACTGTAAGATTCTGATCAGAGGAAGAGAGAGCACATAATGATAAAACTGCTATCTTTTAGTCATTTCCCGTCACGTAACCCTGCCCCCATCTCACAATAAATATAAAGGGTCGCTTCAAAACAGCTGAAATTTAAGTAATTATCCGTGCATCAGATTATGGGTCAAACCAACTCTCTCTTAATCTTGCCTTGTCTCAGAGCACTTTCATTCACAGGCCACTTTTTATTCTGTTGGGCTACATTTTAACCAGAAATTCACTTCAGCTTAGTTTTTTATAGACGAGACCAGATGTCACACAGGGAAGTTGTCAACAAGGGTCATTAATGTTAGCTAATATTAACAGATACAGCTTTTGATTTTAATAATGTATTAGTAAATATTAAAATCAGCATTAACTATGATGAATAAATGCTTTAGAAGTACTGCTCCTCTTAACTAATGTTAACAAATGGAACCTTATTGTTAAATGTTAATAAGCCAGTATAATAAGGGCAGATTTTAACCTAACAGATAAGCATATTTTTCATGAATATCACATAAGGGGAGAGTTGTCACATGTCATTTTAATTTCATCTATTAATTACAATTTTTGTTGGGCTTAACAATTTGCTCTTTTGTGTTACTTTTATAGTTTTCATTAATTGTTTTGTTTCATAATTGTTTTACTGTTTAAATTGAGCTGAAAAGCCCATTAAAGGATATTTAATGGCAAGTCCTCTTGCATGTGACAGATCACGGGGGCATGTTGTCACAAACAAGTGACCAATGAACTGTATATTCAATAGCTTTTTTTCTGTAACCATGACTTCTGCATCTGATTCTATACAGAAATTAACTATTTAACATGAGAAATATTCACCTAAGTAAAAAGTGTAACAACTAGGCCTGTCTCTCATATTACTTTTTTAATTTATTTTATGTTAAGGACTTTTACATCAATTTTCTTTCGATGGAAACTCTAGCAGCATTTTTGCCACCTAATTAACCCAGATGCACCACATTAATGAGTTCTCTCTGGTGGCCTACCTTCTTTAAAGGGAGAAGCCTTGCCTACGATCTCCGCAGGGCCAAACCATCAGGCCATTGTCAGGGCAAACAACAGCCTTATCTGGCTCCTATTCAAGCCACCTGATTAGCTGAGAAAAAGGGGAAGAGAAAGAAAAGGCCATGTCCTTGCCCAGTAGCTGTAAATGTCAGCAAAAGGCCAGGAGACCCACCGCTTCTTTATATACGTTAGCATATTTTACAGACGGCCAGTGGCACAGGAAGTCCTACCGCTATACGGACGACATACGGCTCTCCAGTGGTCCTCATGGCTTTTCTTCAGGACTCAGATTTTATGCTGGACATCAAGTGGTGACCCATTCCAGTACCTAAACTATTTATCATCAAAAGACTACTGTATCTATGTTGAACAATACTAAAATTAATTCACATTTGTAAACTATGTGCACATTTGAATAAATAATTTTTTATTAAAACCAAATCTCTTGACTCAGTTCGGTCTGATTCATGCATGGTTCTGTGAACTAGTTTTAAAAGACTCATTGAAAAGATTGGATTCAACAGAACAATTCTCTCATGAATTGGACATAGCTGATATGCAACATTATTTATGTAAGCTTGTTTCCACCAAAGGATAAAATAATAATAAAAAAATTTAATTGTGACTTTTTATCTCACAATTCAGGCAATTCTGAGTAAAAAAAAATCTAAATTGGGAGATATAAACTTTGACAAGTTTACATCTCAGAATTCTAAGTTTACATTTTTTGTTTCTGCCATGGAATAAAAATAAAAAAAGGTAATTGGGACTTTATATCTCACAATTCTGAATGTATCTTGCAATTCTGAGGAAAAAAATCTAAATTGTGATGTATAAACTCAGAATTGGGAGAACTGTTAATTTTTTTTATCCTATGGTAGAAATAAGCTTTAATAATTATTAACAAGACAAGCTAAATAGGACAATTTACCATTGTTAGTTTCAAAATTTCTCAAAATGGGAAATTGTGATGGTTTCATGCTCTTGTCAGAGAGAATAATTACTTCATTTGCTAAAAAATAAATAAATAAATAAAAAACATTGTAGGTTTGGCACAAATTACATATCTTTGCTACAAGTGAAATTGTATTTAATGCAGTTTTCACAGTTTTGCTCATAGTTTTAAATTCCCATGCTGGCACCTGTTTATTTTAATTAACTACTAACAAGTAACAGATATAATTTCATCAAAATCCCACGGCTTTTAATTGAAAGCTGAGCCTTTGATATCGACTGCAAAAGGTATCTCCGTCTGTTTAATAATGCATATTTATATAACTTTTTATTATTTAATTTAGCATTGTTTACATTTAGAAGACCCTTCAGCGATTTGTAGGTTGCAATCCACCAGTTAAAAACCACTGGCACACTAAAGCTTGAA